ATATATATATAAAAGCTAAACTGAAAAGCACAAAATTAATTTCCTCAAATACTTATAAGTTTGTCTCATAATATGGATTTTAAATCTATTTCAACCTTAACTACAGCAGAAGTGATTTTTGGTGGCAATTATTTTGTAATCTTGCGAAAATAAAAACAGCTGTTAAAATATTCACAAACAATTAAATTATGTTCGGTGTATCTGGGTCAGTAAAAATATCACTGACAATTAAGATAAATACTGGTAAAAAAAATTTATGGCACCAAAATTAATTTATTTTACTATATATGTGGTAAAACCCAATATATAATTAGTAAGTGTTAACCAATAGAAAACGTACTAACTTATAAAATTTAACGTGCAAATATCAATACTGTTTACGAACCAGAATCTTGGGGAAAAAATTTATCTAATTTAAATAACCGAGTTAGGTTTATGGTACTAGTAAAAAAAAATTGAATTAATAAATGGGAGTATATAACATACACATGTTTAATTGTACACTTTTTTCTCTCTTTGAAGTCTCAACACTCTTCTTGCTTTTTTATTTGTAATATTTACTTGTTTAGCTTGCATGCACACACTGGTCTATTCGAAGAAAAATCCCAAAATCCCAATTATATTTTGGTCAAACACCACATCCCATAAATAGTGAAAGGACCAATTGCCTTGTTTCACCTCTTAACCAATTCATTCCCTTTGTCTCTTTTCATCTTCCTCTCTATTCACACAACAAAACTTCTCAAACCTCAAAATTTCACATAGCACAACTGTGCAGGACCCATTTACAAAAAATAATTATAGCAACCTGACCTAGATTATAAATTAAAAAACAAAGCATAACTTAATTACTACATACCTTAATGGTTGACTCAAAGAGGGAATGAGTGCTTTGCGTGCAAATTTTCCATGGTTGATTCTAGTGAAATATTGAGAAGTTCAAGTGCCAAAACTTGGAGTCAGAATTTTGTGCTCTTGGAAACAAATTCAATAGAAGATTAGACACAGACAATTCATTATGTGGGATAGATCCTTTGGTTCCATGTTCTCACTAGTAACTCTTCTGAAAAGTACCTCTAGATATCATTATAAATATTCATTGATCCAAAATTCAAACTTTGCAACAAGAACAACATCCTAAATTGAATAACATGCGTAGAATAAGAACATAATTTTTAGTTTCAGATTTACATTTGTCATAGATATTATTCAGATATTTTAACCACATAACTTATAGCTATTAAATTTAAATGGAAATTGTAACAATTTCACAATAAAATATAACCTCAATTGTGAAATAATTTGATAACATAGATTTTTTCTTGAAAAGAAAACTAACAAAACATACAACAAATCAGTGTAGCAGATGAATATCGTTCTAACTTTTGTTGGGATTTCTACCATTTAAATATATGGAAAGAGTTAGCTTTCTATAATAATCAAGGGAAGATTCATTGTAGAATTGTAAATTAAGTATGATTATATGTTAAATGCACATGCCATAAGTTCCATAGAATTAAGTAGTTATTGGACATAATACTTACATTGTGATAGAGATTGTTGAGGGAGAAAGAGATTCTACTACCACTTATCTATATCTTACAGTGAAGCATTGCATCAAATTTTATTACTTTATCTACCAAGGAGTTGTTCCTTCTATTTCTTGAACTCTTGTCATCCCATTAATCCTATAACCCAACAAAAAAAATAAAATTAATTTATAAGGTGTTTACGGTGAAAACGTCGTTTAAGGGTTCTTTTTACTCGAACTAGCACGTAAATGGTTTCAATTTAGGATTTGTGATTTAAGAACAGGAAAAGGAGTGAACAACTTTAGTAATTACTTGTTTCTAAAGATTCTTCTATAATTAACAAGCAATAATTTTCACACATATAAATGCTAAGATGAACAGAATGAATAATTAAGATACTTGCAATACAAATCATAGTTCAACTTGCATAATGTTCCAGAGGTACAATATCAAAGTAATATAACTACGTGATTAAAGGAAATAAATAAGAGAACTATGCTAATTCTACTCCTAAAAAGTAAAAGAAGAGTGGCCGAGAGTCAGTCATACCCAAAAACGATCTTGTGCACGAAAGCCATATGTGTGTGTAGGCAGAGAGTGCTTCAGAAGTTAATTCAAGTATGAGTTTTTCCGACCTCTGTTACGGTCCGTAATCCTTGTATTTATAGAGCAATCAAGAGTGGTTAATTTTGTGCACGTACACCTCTAACTCATAACCGCTATCCACTATGCTTGCTACGTGGTCTTGAGTTATAACTTCCTTTAACCGTCCTCCCACGTTCATATTAACCTCTCGACCTACCTGTCCACACATATGTTAACTTCTCGATTCAGACGTTTGACCACCTTCATGTGACCATTGGTACTACACTTTTACTAGTTTTCGAGCACAACTCTTCTCGATCTCGAATATTTGCCACTGGAAGGTGTCCATCTTCATATCATTTTTCGAGGAATCTACATGATTGTTTCGACTTGTTTGTAGTTTTTCGAGTCGTTTGATCTTCGAGTAAGCCCAACAAATGCCCCCCTAGGAATTCAATCTTGATGTGCATACTGTTCCGGCAAGTTGAATTCCTGTCGACAGTTATTTTTTTGAATTTTCATCGAATAGCTTCAAATGGTGACTTTACACTTCTTCGATGAAAACCTTCTCTGATCTATATTAAATGCAAGTGACCGTTTGATGAGACATTGATGGTCTTGACGGCGCGTGTTCACTCTGCTCCATAAATTTGTCTTTGAAGAAAACGGTTTTGGCGGCTTGATTTGAATTGATGTGAGTTGGCATTTTGGATTGAATTAACCTGGACCCGTTTTTGACCTAAGGCCCATTTACCTCATTTAGGACTCTCTTTTACCCTAGAGTAAATTATCTTCACCGCTGCACTTGCTTTTGCGCACAAGTTTGTCACTTTCTTTTGCTCCTTGGTAGCCTCCTTCTCCGGTGATCTTGCACGTTTCTTCATTCATCCCTTCTTATCCATGGCTTCCTCTGCTGCCTCTACTTCTGCTGCTGTAGCTTCCTCAATGTCTCCTACTACCACCACTTCTTCTCCTATTTTGACTGGTACTACTTCTCATTTCTATCTCATCTCTCATGATGTCTCCCCCCTTACTCTCTGAACAAATAATAATTCATTTAATAGAAAAAAGAAATGAATTGGAGAATGAAATTAACAAGAGAGAGAGAATATTTTATTTTTATTTAAAATTAAATTAAATTACTATAATATCATTTATACAAATTAACCAAATCAAAAATTTTTTGTGCTAAAATTTTGGTGTAGGTTGCTAACATACCCCCACTAAAAAATAGGTGGGAGTATATTAACATTCCTCATATATATATATATATATATATATAAGGAGGGTTATAATATACTCCCACCTATTTTTTAGTTGGAGTATGTTAGCAACTTGCACCAAAATTTTAGGATAAGAAAATTACTTATTAATTTTGATTTGGTTAATTTGTATAAAAAGTTTCGATTACCTGGGACAAGAAGACTTACCTTGCCTTTATTACCGCTCATATGGGACAACCTGGTACCCCTGTTTCCGAGTCTGAACACATTGCTTTTTTGATGTACTGGTTATCTGCATGCGTCTTCTGTACTCCTTCTCTTCAAGTCCCAAAATATTATTATGTCTTAGCTCAGGCCTTACATCTTAAGAAGAAGATTTGTTTGAGTAAACTTTTGTTAGCTTCTCTATACACATGTCTCGATGAAGCTTCGGAAAGTTTATCCCGGGAATCCGGTCCTCGCAACCTATCTGGACCGTTATGGTTACTACAATTATGGTTAAACGCGATTTTGGAGAACAAACTCTCACTGACTTCCTCCTTTGCTCCAGCATGCGCACTCGAGGGAGCTCGTTTAACCACACTTACTCCTCGAAAACGTTTAGTTGATAACTTCTCAAAATACATTGGGGCAATTCTTAGTTTCGATCAGTTTAGTGAAGATTTGGCTCCGTTCATCCGTTCTTCTTTAATTGGCCCTCCTTGGCTCCGTCACAATAATCAAATCTGGAATATAACACTTGATTCCATTGAAATATGGGAAAAATTCTTATCCTGGGACGTGATTATGTCAGGCATGCGTCAAAAAGATGTCAGAATTTACCCGTACCAGCCGCAGCTGTTTGCTCGACAGTTTGGACTTTGTCAGATGAAACCTTTGCCTCTTCGACGTAAAGAGAGTATAGACGCTGACATTTGTGTCGAAAGAGGAAACTATGAAGAAGTGTTAAAATTTATTTTACGTCCAACTAAACAACTCCACCTCACACCTTGCTCTTTTTCTCC